GTCTTCATGCAAAGACGTCAGCGTTTGCCCGCAGGAAGGAGACGAGCACGTCTTCCTATTTGCCATCCAGAAGACCACCGATCCGTGTGGTCTTGGATGGGCCGTCGCCCAGGGCAACCCCCTTGACCGGGACCTCGGCGCATGTGACAATCCGCTGCCTCGGGGCGGTGGGGGCGGAGGTGCCAAGCCTCTCGTCACCACCCTCGGGCTTGGACGCAGCAGCGAGGTGGTCCGCGCGCTGCTCCATGCAAGCGAGCGCGACTTTCAGGTCGCCATGGACAGAGATGGGGCCACCGGGGCCCGGCATCTTCATCTGGAGGTAGGCGTAGTGGACCGCCGCCATGAACTTCACCAACGCGGGCCTCCCCAGGACCGCGTTGTAGGGCAGACTGAGGTCCGCCACATCGAAGTTCACCCGCTCCGTGCGGAAGTTGGCTGATCCACCAAAGGTGACCGGTAGGTCGATGTGACCCAACGGCCATGTGTGCCCCGGCGTCACACCGATAATCGGTTGGGACGGCTGGAGCACCATCCCCGGGGCCTTGATGGCATCAAAAACCGCGGGGGAAATGATGTTGAGGGCCGCTCCCCCATCTATGAGGACACGCCCCAACTTCACGTTGCAGATGGTGGGGGAAACCACCATCGCAATCTGCCCTCCCCGGGCGACGCACGGTGGGTGGTCGGTCTGGTCGAAAGTGAGGGCAACCTCCGACCACCGCGCCCGGCGCGTCGCCTCATGAGTAGGGGCCGCGGCCAGAAGCTCTCGCTTCATGGCCTTGAGGCTCCGGCGAGAGACGTGAGCACACGCTCCCCCATCGACAGTGGCAATGGTGGCCCCAGGTTCTTGGAAACCTAGGTCATCATCACCGTCATCGATGTCAACAGCGGGGGCCTTCTGTTTGGCCTCACTTCGCCGTTTACCGGAGGGAGTTGCCGGCGACTTGCCCTCACGGCGTTCCTTCCTCCTGTCCTCCTCCCACTTCCTCGTTCGCTCAGCCAAGTTTTTGACTGCGCGACAGTCCGCGAGATCGTGGAGGGAGGTGTTGTGGACGGAGCACCACTTGCCGGCTGGGCGCTCCCTGGTGGGAGTACCAGCCTCTTTCTTTTTGTCGCTCGCAGGCCTCCCCTTTCGGGTGGCCCGCGGAGCGCCCTCGACGGCGAGGACATGACCCTCGTCGCCGGAATGGACCGACCTCTTCTTCCTCCTCCTGTCACGCCGCCCTGTCTGAGCGGCGGATCCGGGGGCGGCCGAAGCTGCCACTCCGGAACCGGAGGGGTTCCAGGTCCATGCTTCCTCCTTACGAGCCACTCGGTCTGCGAGCTGAAAAAGCTCCGCGGTAGTCTGGGGCTCTTTGGAAGCGATCTTTTCGAGCATGCGGTTGTGCCGCACACCCCCCCTGAACGCGTAGATCACCGCGTGTGCAGGGATGCATGGTATGGTATTGCGGACTTGGCAAAACCGCTGAATGTACGAGCGAAGTGACTCATCATCCCCTCGCTGTACCGCGTGCAAGTCCGCTTCTTCACCTGGGCGCGGATAAGTGCCTTGAAAGTTCATAGTGAACTGTTGGCATAAATCCTCCCAAGAGTGGACCGACGCAGGTGGCAGGTTCATTAGCCAACCCCGCGCCTGTCCCTTCAGGGCCATGGGAAAGAAATTCGCCATGACCCTGTCGTCACCCCCAGCGGCCTCAATCCCGGTCGTATAGACCTGGAGAAACTCGGTGGGGTTGACACTCCCATCATACTTCTCGGTGATGGTGGGCCGGAACCTTGGGAGCCAACGGACATTCCGAAGACTCGCCACAAAGGCTCTACAGCCGACACCACCAGCCGGGGGCACGGAGGGCTGGTCCTCACGTCCATGTCGAGGTGACACTCTGGACGAAGAGGCGCCCTCCGTTGCGCGGGGAGTACGCCGGCTATTACGCCGGCGCTCGATGTCGAGGCGGGCATCCGGCTCTCCATGCTGATCCTCCCGAGTCGGAGGTGCCGACGAGGGAGTGGCAGCCGAATGGCGTGCAACAGCCGCCGCTCGCCGCGCCCTCCGCCTTGACGACACGGAGCCGGTAGTGGCGGCGCCGGAGGTCTTGGTGGTGGCGGACCATCCACCAGCACCCAGGCGCTGCTGTGCCGTCATGACCAAGTTGGCCACGTCGTCCAGCCATCGCTGGGCTGGAGACTCCGGGTCAGGGACGACGGGCGGGTTACGTAGGAGCGCGCCAACAGCCTGAAGCGCGCCCTGAGGCGTGTTGCCGTCGCCGTAGACGAGGAGGCGACGCTCCCCATCTCGCCGTTCTCCTGCATCACCCGCGACTGGCGATGCTGCGGATTTTTCGACCCTCTCGAGTGCCTCCCCCTGCTTAGGATTTTGGTGTGGAGGAGGTGGGGGAGTACGAGCTCGACGGCGTGGGTTTGGCTCCCCGTCGTCGCCGCTCACACTCGGAGAGAGGTCGTGCACCTTTGCTTGCTCGGCCATTAGGCTGAACAAGAAAAACTTGGCGCACACGGAGGAGTACGAGAGCTCAGAAAACACACGCTGAGCCCCCTACCTAGCGCGCCAGATGACGGAGCTCGTGGCTCCTCACCGGGAGACCGCACAGGCCCCCCTTTGCCGGTTCGGCCGGGGGCTTAGGGTGAAATCTCAAGCTCTCTCGGTATGTGAAAAGATCGCCAGCTAGGAAGAAACGCGAGACACGGGTGATGTATACAGGTTCGGGCCGCTGGGAAGCGTAATACCCTACTCCTGTGTTTTGGTGGATTTGTTCGGTATGTGGAAAGATCGCCAGCTAGGAAGAAACGCGAGACACGGGTGATGTATACAGGTTCGGGCCGCTGGGAAGCGTAATACCCTACTCCTGTGTTCTAGTGGATTTGTGTATGAACAAGTAACAAAGTGTCAACCAGCCCCCAATCGCCCTGGGATCGGATCTGGAGAAGGCCTTGTGTCCAAAAATCCTCTCTCTATCTAAGTGGGCAAGGTCCTCCTTTTATATCTCAAGGGGATACCACATGCCCCTCTCCCTCTCCAAACTGGACTATTCTTCTCTTCATAAATGGACGGAGATCGGTACGGTTGCTGTCCGGGTGCCCTTCTGACGGGACGGCCCATATCTACCCCCACTTCCGCCGGAAACAGGTGCGACGTGGGATTATGGCTGTCTGTTGATGACGCGACCAGTGTCAGACCGGTCACAGATCAGTCATCCTTGTCCACCACGTGTCAGCTTAGCAACGTGCATTTTTGCCCTTCTTCATATAGCATCTTGCCTGTAATGGTTGGGATGAAGCCTGGTATAAATCTAACCAGGGCTAACGTGCCATCTCTAAGAGATTACACGCTAGCTCCGGCTTGAGACGAGTGCCTAGAGGCTTTCGTCTTGACGGGATGGGGCAAGGCGTGCGTCAGACCGCCAGTCGCCACCTAACCCGTGATCTGACCGGTCTGTGACTGGTCACAGACCGGATAAAGGAACGCGCTGCACTACGCTGCATGCAGCGTGACACGTTCGACCAGACCGCAATAAATGGTGGTTAGGTGAGGCTTACCGTGTTCACCCAACCCATTCATGTGGCGCTAACTCCACAAGGGGTCGGGGCGCCTCGGCCCTCGGGGCCGGGGCAGGAGTCACCCGACCCCCCCTCGGGGAAATCAGGAGGAGGGCGGACACCTCACCCTCGGGCCCGACGTCCCCGAAGGTGCCAGGCCACGTGGACGATTGTGTCTGCCTCAAGCCTCTGGTCACGATACTCCCGGTCCCATATCACCGACACATGTTAATTTGTAGAATTAAATAGATTGTAGATGCTCTTGCATGCTTGCATGAGGTTGAATATGTAATTATGGTTAGTGGGTGATGATGTGGTATGGTTGCATGTTAAGCTTTAGAGTTAGTGGGCTATAAGTATAGATAAGAGATATGCAAGCTAGGGTTGTTTATTTTGTTTGTCTTTTCTCACTGTCCTCAGAAGCAAATGTATAGGAAGTTAATTCGTAATATTTTCAAATTCCAAAATTGAATATGTCAAATTGCATAATTTTAAATGACTGGAATCATATCCGCACGTTGCAATGGCTCCCATCTAAATGTACTAAATCTATAAATATCAAATGCAACAAATAATTATTTATGTACAAATTATAATATTTATATTTACGCTATGTAGGAGACCAATTCATCACCTATAAATGTACCATCACCGCCAACTCCCTCCTTTAAAACTAAGACCAAGTAAGAAGAGCCATGGAAAATAGATATGACATTGATAGGGATAGTATATATAATTATATACGGGTTGTACATAAATTAAAGTAAAGTTGAGCCCGAAATTTGGCCACTATTTTCAAGTCTGAGACATACGGTTAACCTTTTTCCTTCTGAAAATCAACGTGTAAATCAAACCCTAGCGAGGCATAAGTAGCTAGGCTTATCGAATCTATACTATATATATATAGTTGATACTCAGTCTACTTAATCTCAACATTTAAGTATGCCACATTATCACCCACTAGCAATTAGTATTATCTAAAGTATTTAAAATCACGTACAAGCGTGCCACATCATCACCAAGTAGCAATTATTATTTAAGAGTATTTTAAATATTATACAAACATGACATATCTTTTACAATTTTGTTGTATTTTTAGAACTTAATATCAAATCATTATCTCCACATCATTTTAATATTATTTAAACATATACATATATCGTTTTTATAATGTATAATATGTATTTATCCACATATCCCACGGCAAAATGCAAAGTATATAACTAGTTACCTCATGATGGTTTACAATTTGGAAGCATCCTGAGAGGCTTATTTAATTTTGTTGTCAAAAAATAAAGGAAACAAAATTTCTAAATACATGCATCTTTAGTTACTTCTGTCCTCTATAGCTACAAAAAATATATATGCACTCAGCTGATCCATCATCCATGCATTCGCATATAATTGCATCCAATGACTGATCTCAATTCATTTCCATAAAATTCCAGATCAGCTGCAACTGGACATGCCATTGGATGAGCTTCCACCACTTCGTCTGCGAGATATGATGTTCTCAGCAACCACCACACATGGTACAATGGCTACCTGCTTAGAACGTCTATTGGACTCGGCACGGTGTTCTTCAGGTGTCATTCTCAATACCTTCGATGACCTTGAGAATTCTGACCTCCGAAAGATCGCCAATGGCCTAAGTGTTCCGGTTTACGCGATCGGTCCACTTCACAAGATCTCCATAGGCCAAGAGAGCAGCTTGCTAACTCAAGATCAAAGCTGTTTGGAATGGTTAGACAAGCAGGAGGCAGAGTCTGTTCTTTATGTGAGCTTTGGGAGCTTGGCATCTATGGACTCTCAAGAGCTTTTGGAGACAGCGTGGGGATTGGTCGATAGCGAAATTCCGTTTCTTTGGGTGATCAGGCCTAACTCGGTCCAGGGATCAGAGCAAACATGCCTTCCAGATGGCTTTGAGGAGGCGACACGTGGCAGGGGTATGGTGGTTTCCTGGGCCCCACAACAAGATGTGCTGAAGCACCGAGCGGTTGGTGGTTTCTGGACGCACAATGGGTGGAACTCAACCCTAGAAAGTATATGTGATGGTGTTCCGATGATCTGTAGGCCTCAGTTTGCGGACCAAATGATTAATGCTAGGTATGTCCAAGAGGTATGGAAGATAGGGTTCGAGCTAGAGGGAAAACTGGAGAGGAGAATGATTGAGAGGGCTGTAAGAAGGTTACTGTGCAGTGAAGAAGGCAAGGAGATGAGGCACAGGGCAAAGGATCTGAAGAACAAAGCGACGACCTGTATTGAGAAAGGAGGCTCTTCAAATACTGCAATTGATATGTTGGTGAATCTCATAATGTCATTTTGAACATTATCTTATATCAATAAACTGTTTCATAAAATCCATAGAAAACATAAACATCTTCTGAAGTTACTATTAATATATTGGGTGAAATTTACAATGGCACAGGGAACTTCTCATGACTGAGCTTCATTCTTGCTCTTCAATTAGAATGGTACTTTATTTCCTGATGGAACATAGGTAGCATTTCCTGGTGCTAGCAAACGTGGAATATTGCATAAGCGAAAGTATGACTTTGGTTGTACAAATAGAACGATCTGTGATAATTTTAGTTATAAACAGTTTTCAATCAAACTTTTTTAATGCATATCCTTGAGGTAAACTCTATTAAGTGATCAGGAAAGTCATTCATGAGTTCTTGAAGCCGGACTGGGCGCTGTCATATCCTTAGTTGTGAGCTTTGTCCGTTGCATGTAGCTAGGGAGAAATATAACGGAGCCAAATGCTGATGCCTGCGAATTAACCGAGTTTTCTTCATCACATTTTCGTCACTTTCATCTAAATGTTCTCCATTAATCACGAATGGAAAATGTTCAATTAGAGATATTGGATGTACAGGAAGTCTTTCCTCACTGAATATGATGTAAAGTGTCGCTATTGCCTGCAGTTGCCTTGAAATCGATCAGTCTTTACTCGACGATAGCCCCAAAATTAATCTGGGGAACCCACACCCACCTGATACTACTGACTTGGGTCATTCAGTTTGTTATCAAGTCCACATGCTAGAGACTATTTTGGACCTTCTCTTTCTCTGTCGTTCTCTCTCTGCCCTTCCAGTGAGTCCACCAAGTCTCTTCTCTCCCCCAATTTCTGTGAAATCAAAATATGTTTTGATTATTATTTTGTGATAAATAATTATCTTATGAAATAATTGGTTTTTATTTGCTAATATTTGATAAAGTGGTTTTGTTCTAAGGCCGGTCTGACCGGGGGGTGTGCACTGGTCAAACCGGGTGGTTACGATGAATAGTATTTCTGACGATGAACAGGTTTCGGCTTGATGGAGCTGATCAAAGCAGACATAGTGCGCCGGTCTGATCGGAGTTGTGGTGGCGGTTAGACTAGCCAACCCAACGGTCTAACCGGTTGAATTTGTGTCGGTTTCGATTTCTAGTTATTTATTTACTCGTGATTACCTCATGTTTATGACTACTAGCTAGATGATTACTATGTGTATGTAATACTGGTTTGTGCTGATTTAGAGTTAAGAGGTAGAAGAACTTGTGCTCGGATATGATACGTTTGTTGTTTATTAATGTGTAGGTGTATCTTGATGCCCCGGGAGAGCATTGTCGGTGCTGAATCGGGAGTCAACTTGGGAGAATATGATGTCCGGACGAACAGGAGATCAAGTGGGATACTTAGGCTAATTAAAGAACAATGCACGTGGTGGTGAAGATTTCATACAACATACAAAAGGAGATTGTATGTGTATGGGATGCGGAATTGAATTTGAAAGGATATGGTATGTTTGGAGTTTGATGAGTTCGATAGAAGATTTCCTAGTGGATTATGACATATTCATGGCTTTTGGGCAGCCAACTCTGGTATAAATAGAAGAGTGGTCAAGTTCTCTCAGTATCGATTGTGTGTAAGGAAAGTTGAGAGAAAAGTTACTGATTAGCCTGGATTACGAGTTTAGTCGAAAGTTGAGAGAGAATTAAATGCTACTGTTGTGCTTTGTAAATACAGTTAGAAACAATCAAGTTGATCTACTTTCAGAGTGTTCTTTGATTTGTGTTTTTTCCTATCTCGGTGGTTAGAACGGCAAGGCACAGGCGGTCAGGCTAGAGGTTTTGGTTCAGTCAGACCAGCGGCCTCAAGGCGATTGGACCAATGACTTTAGGAGGCTATAGTGACAAGCAGAGCGGTCAGACTGGCATGACAACACCGGTCAGACCGGGCAATAAGGCGGTCAGACACATTGTGATCAGACTGAACTTCGTTGGATTTGATATAACTTTTAATTCCTCCAAAAGTTTTGGTTTTTGGTGTTCCTACCATTCACCCTCCTTTAATAAGCTTGGTTTTTGTATTTCGATCCTACAGTTTCGCCCTTCTTCACTGCCTCAAGCGCCTCAACGGAGGCCGGCGAGGAGAAACGAGACTATCATAGTCGAGTCACTCATCGTTGTTTTCCTTTTTGTTTTCTTGTTCTTTCAAGAAAACCGCATGTTCTAGATGTTTTAGTCACAAAGGAACTCAGCCATGGAGGCTTTCACCGGCGACTCCTCCGGTGTTGGTCCCTAATCTGGGATACTTTTCATTCATACCCTTTTGCTCGGATTTAATTTTTTTTCTTAATAAAATATCTATTATCTATCTAAACAAAATAAATTAAAGTAAATTACTTGTTTCCTCTCTCTCTCTCTCTTTTTGAGAGGGACTTGTTGCCTCTCATAGTCAATAGTTTGATGCATGGAATTCATCCATACGTTTTGCAGCTGTCATCCTGCCCATATGTGCATGTAATTTTGGCCCAAAGTTACTCGTAAATGTGGCCCAAAATTGATTGAATGTTTGACCCAAATATGTAGGTAAATTCGGCCCAGAAGTTCGCATATCCAAGCAGAGGAATCTAACACAAAATCCCTGCCAAGCTATTGGCTGTTGTCTACCGAGAAGACCATTGCGCGAGCGGTAGCGTGCCACTCGCTTACGCGATCAGCCAAATTTCCATTTTTGGGCATACAGTAATTTCCATTCGAGCTTAGCCTATCTCCTTTTCCTTTTTTAAAGGAATAGGTCCACTTTGACTCTCTTAAATATAGACTGGATCTGATTCATATCCCTCAATGACAAAACCGGATAAAACGACTCCCTAAATTGATAAAACCGGTATAGATTGACTCCTAAGACAGTTTAAGGGTGGTTTTGGATGATGTGGCACGGTCAAGAACGCTGAGTCAGTAAGAAAGGTGGAATTTTTTTTTGTGAGACCAACGTGTCATGCTCATTCTCCATCCTTCCTCCTTTGCTCTCTCTCCCCCACATCTCTCATCTCTCTTCCCCTTCAGCAGTGGTGAGCCTTGAGCTCCCTTCGGTGGAGGCAGTGGTTGACGAACCCCGTCGAGCTCGAGCGCACTTGCTCGTTCGTGGGAAGGGAGGAAGCAGCGGTGGAATTCGACGAGTCTCCTCAAAATTGAGCTCGTGCTCGTCATGGCTGGCGAGCGTGGCGTGCGCATGACGGACTGAGGAAATTAGCAGCATGGACGAAAAGGAGAGGAGGTGGAGAGTGAACCAGAAGCATGCTGTGCATAAGGGGAACGGAAGGGGAGAGTAAGAGATAAGGGGGAGTGAGAGGGAGGAGGAAGAAGAGATATAGAGTGAGGATGACATGTGGGCCCTCAAATGATGACTCAGCAATTGAATTAGGTCAACAAGCCACGTCAGCGAAAACCACTCTCAATAGTTGAGGATTTAAGAAATCTGGTATTACAATTGAGGGATATAAATTAGATTGGACATATATTTGAGGGAGTCAATGTGGACTTATTCCTGTTTTTAAATAGGCCGAGTCCAAAGAGGAGAACATCCAAGGAGTACGTCCGCGGCTTACACATACGCTTTGTTTTGCCTTTTGAATTCGTTTTTTAGTGTGTCATGGTAAGAAAAAAAATTGCAAATATACTTACTTTTTTAATAATTTACGTTTATATACTTGCATAAAAAAGAATTGAAAAAATATATCCGTCCCACAATGGTCCCGCAGCACCAAAACGCAGGACCGTTAGTCTCGCGAGATGGTTGCGTGGCACCACAACGGTCCCGCCGCTACAAGACACGGGACAGTCACGGTCCCGCGCGACCAAAATGAGGCACTGCGGCAGTAGCAATTTTATTATGCATTCGGCACTGTTTGACACTGTTTACCACTATTCACGAGACATTCCCACGGTTCTATTGCGTGGAACCGCCCTATGAACAGTGCCAAACAGTGTCTCAATAGTACCAATCACTGTAGTGACAGTGTCATCACATTGATAAAATGGCTACTATCGTGGTGCCGCGTTTTGGTCGTGCAGAACGGTCACGGTCTTGTGTTTTATAGCTGCGGGACCGTCGTGCGGCAGGACCATCGGTCCCGCGTTTCAGAGCTGCGGGACCGTTGTGGTCCCGCGTTTTCACCCCGCGGAACGGGTATATTTTTGTAAATCCTTCCCTTTATGTTTATAAACATAAATTATTGAAAAAATAAGTATATTCGTAATTTTTTTCCTTAAGATAAGTACCTTTAGATAATCCCATCAAATGGTTTTTTCCCAAATCACAAAAACATTTTTTAGCGGATCACACAATATGTTGATGTGAACATGTTTTAAAAAAGGTGCAAATTATCTGTACAAAGGGCGGAAAAAAAAGATAAATGGAGCTAGTTGATTAGATACTACTCACGCTAAAACTAACGAAAAAAACTTATACGGACTATTTAGTTGGAGGGAGTTATTAGAAGGGATTGGGAGTTTAGAGGGATGAGACTATTAAGTGTTTTGTTTGGTTGGGAGACATGGCAATTTTGTGGGATGGGGATGAGGAATTGAGGAAGGAACTCCCTCCTTTTCAATACTTAGGTAGGGGCAGGTAATTGGGAGGGAATTCCTCCTGTACTTTGTCTAAGAAAATCTCAGCCATCCGTTTTTATTAATGATCTAATCTCCAACTAAACTCCCTATCAATTTCCATCACCTCTACCAAACAAGATATTGGGATTAAAAATCAAATTACCATCTTAATCTCATAATCAATTCCCTCGTGTAAACTCCCAATCCCCTTCCCTCAAGTTACCAAACAAGCCCATACTAGGGGTTTTGCCTTTTTTATGTGCATCTCTGTGTAACCCTTACGAGTTCTCACGTTACATATAACATATTCTCCTGCAGGTATCCTCAAATCCTAGTACAATACAAACTAGTGTAACAGATGAAAACATTAGTTAATCCTAATTCATCGTGAAACTTTGGGCCAAAATATTTGTAAAATTTATTATTCAACTTGTTAAGACCAGTGGTGAGAGTTTTAGAGAACCGACGAAGAAAAATATTGAACCTCCATGAATTGGCAAAATTGAGTTTGCAGTTTGCACTCGTGGAAACGTATCACGTGGTTACCGCTGTCCCACAGTAAAACTGGGAAAGAAATTGACAAGTGGCCCTCTTGAATGCAAGTTGTGAGCCTCTGGTGCACTTACTCTGATCCAGTGAGGGAAAATTACGCTACTAGGACCAATTTTCCCGACGATGGCATTTTATTTTTGAAGGCGGGTAGACCTCTCGGAACTAAATGACCGCTTACGAAAATAACAACCGTGGGGTGAGATGGTTGTCCACCTGCGAAAATCTATTTTCGCAAGCGGACCACCTAAGCAGTGCGTCTGTAAAAGAACCCTTTATATCTGCAGGGTCCGCCTGCCAAAATTGATGTAGCATATAAATAGGCGCCAAATCGCACAATTTTTTTTTCTAAGTCTTATCTCCTCTCTTCTCCCTCACAGCCCCCAGCTCTCCTCTCCCTCCCCCTTAGCGGCCGTGGGCGTTCGGCGGGGATGGCCACGGCGACGGCGACGCGCGTGCGGGGATGGCGAGGCGCAGGGACGGCCACGGCGACACGCGGGGTCGGCGACGACAACGCGCGGGGCGGCGGTGGCGGCACACGGCGCTGCTCCCCTCCCCTCCCCTCCCAGATCCGGCCAGAGGATTTTCATAGGCGGGTGACTGGGCTGCTTGCGAAAATAGGCGTTTGTATACAGGCGGACCGTTCCCCCGCATAGAAAAATGATTTTTGGCCGGCTGAAAAAATGATTTTTCTAGTAATGTTAATCGCAAGGTTATTGTACAAGTTTTTAAAACTATAGTTTATCTATTTTCATCGTATATACATCCCACTCAATTTAAACTCATACAGTCGTATTAGCCTATAGCCGTATTAGCCGTATTACCCACTCCGTTTCATTGCTTCACCCCGTAGTACATGATTCTCCATCCATTCGCAGATGATCATCACATAATTTTTTTCAATGTTATTCAGAAACGATCAACATATTTGATAATCTTCCATGTGACTTTTCATTTTTCTGTGTGGTGCTAAATTTTAAATGATCATTTTGCATGCATTGTTCTATCTATCGTTCAATTAACTGCAATTACGGTGCGTGCATGTATGCAAGCGATATCATTGGCATAAACTGCCATGGATGTAATTAATGCGTAGGACACACGAAATAATGTTGCATGTTGATCGATGCCGATTTAAGTGACATGTGAGAGTGTAACGGTGTCGCTGCACAAACTATATACGCTGATTATTTGTGATTGGAAGGAGTATTTTCCCTTTTACAATGGCAACTTGCATTGTCAGTTCGCCGCCCCGCGTGCTCCGAGACTCCGAGGTGGTCCGTGCACAGCACATATGCCGGCATGCGCACATGAAAATTAAATTTGAAAATCCATCGTCTTCTACTTCATTTTAGAGAGAATCGAAGCCAAATATGAATTACAAGTAGCAACGGATTCTTGTGAAAAAAGAGCTAGCTAGCCATCTGCTATTGGTCATTCCGATCCATGGGCACGGAAGCAGTGCACGCCGCTGTCGCCGCCGGCGCCGGCCACCGTCGTCGCCGCGTCCTGCTCCTCCCGCTGCCGCTCCAGGGCCACATCAACCCCATGTTCCACCTCGCCAGCGTCCTCCACGCGCGGGGCTTCGCGGTCACCGTCTTCCACCTCCAACCGGCCGGCGTCAACGCGCCCGACGCGTCCCTCCACCCGGCGTTCGACTTCGTCCCCGTCCCCGCCGACGGCGACGGCGACGGCGCCGGCGGCGACTACCTGGAGGCCACCCTGGCGGGCATCCTCGACGTGAACCGCCGGTGCGAGGCGCCGTTCAGGGAGCGACTCGCGGCGCTGCTCGAGGAGGCTGCTCCTGCCGGCGGCGGCGACGTCGCGTGCCTCGTCGCCGACGCGCACCTCCTGACGCTGATGGACGTCGCGCGGCGGCTCGTCGTGCCGACGCTGGCGCTGCGCACCGGCAGCGCCGCCTCCTTCCGCGTCTTCGCCGCGCATCGTATGCTCCGCGACATGGGCTACCTCCCCGCTCGAGGTACGTATACGTGTTCGCGCCATAATGCTCCTCCATGGCTCGATCTACACGGACATGAGCTTTGTGATCTGCGCGCAGAGTCGGAGCTGGACGCGCCGGTGACGGTGCTGCCGCCGGCGCCGTACCGCGTCCGGGACGTGATGCTGACCGCCGGCTTCGGTGGCCACGCGCAGGACCAGATCTACGAGCTGGTATCCCGGGCCGTCGAGGCGGTGAGGACGTCGTCGGGGCTAATCCTCAACACCTTCGACGCGCTCGAGCACGACGAGCTCGCCGCGCTGCGGCGAGACCTCGACGTCCCGGTGTTCGACGTCGGCCCGCTCCACAAGCTCTCGCCGACGGCGCCGCCGAGCAGCCTGCTGCGCCAGGACCGCGGCTGCCTCGAGTGGCTAGACTCCCAGGCGCCGGCGTCTGTGCTCTACGTCAGCTTCGGCAGCATCGCCAGCGTGAGCGCCGGCGAGCTCGTCGAGGCGGCGTGGGGCATCGCCAACAGCGGACACCCGTTCCTCTGGGTGCTCCGCCCGGGCCTCGTCCGCGGCGCCGCCGCCGCCGCCGCCCTCCCCGACGGCTTCGACGCCGCGACGCGCGGCCGCGGCGCGGTGGTCAGCTGGGCGCCGCAGGAGGAGGTCCTGGCGCACCCGGCGACCGCCGCGTTCTGGACGCACTGCGGCTGGAACTCGACGCTGGAGAGCGTCTGCGCCGGCGTGCCGATGCTGCTCCGGCCATGCTTCGGCGACCAGCCGGGCAACGCGAGGTACGCGGAGCGCGTGTGGCGAGCCGGCCTCGCGCTCGACGGCGGCGGCGGCGAGATGGAGAGGGGCAAGGTGGAAGCCGCCATCAGGAGGCTCATGGAAGAGGACGACGCCGCCGGAATGCGGCGGAGAGCCGGCGAGCTGAAGAGCAGAGCGGCGGAGTGCATCACCAAGGCTGGCTCTTCTTGCCTCATCATTGACAAGCTGGTTAATCACATTTTATCCATCTAACTAATAACCATTGTTACTGTAATAATTAATAACACCACTAATACTGGTGTTTTTATCTGTGATATTAATTAGTGAGCACTGAGCAGATTAATTAGATTTGCCTGCACTATATATGTGATGTTCTAACAATAGTGATAGTGATGAGATTTGCTCACTACTATAGAATATTAAATAGGTGTCGGCGCTATAAGTGCCGGAAGTACTAAAGCCGGTACCTATAGGCATTTTCCTACTTCCGCGGGTTGAGATCGCAAAAACCCAGCACCTGTAATTGATAAAGGTACCGGTTTTAAAGAAAAACCGGCAGCTATACTATAGATGTCGTTTTTTTTAAAACAAACCGGTGTCGGTTTTTTAAAAAAGGGCACCTATACCAAGCCGATAGAGCGGCCTTATCCTCTTGATCTCTCTCGCCCTCTCTCGCCCGGCGGAGTGGCAATAGCGGCGGCCGGGTGGCGATGACGGCCCTGCGGAGGGGGCCACGCCCTCCTCACCGATAGATCCGGCTGGAGGGGAGGCGGCGCACCTCAGCAGCGGCGGTGGCCGTGCCCCTCCATCCTCCTCGCCGTACCGCGCCGGATCCGGCTGCCTAGACATTGGGGGCTGCTGGATCCGGCCTTCTGCAGGCGGCATCAGTGGCAATTTGACAAGTGAGTCTTCAATTTCTGTGATTTGTGTGGGGATTCAATTTCTGTGATTTTTGTGGGATGCTGTGCTTTGTGTGGGGATGCTGTGGTTGATGAATCGATGGTGATGTTGATGAATTAATGCTGATGTTGAATTTCTATGATGGTGAGATGTTAATATTGATATTGATGAATTGATGTTGATAAATTTCTGTGATGATGAATCATGATTTGTTGTATGTGGGATAGGGAGCTGCTCGATCCCGAGCTGATGCATCGACCTGGTTTTTTTTGGCTCCTGTGCGCATCAAAGATGCCGGTTATGGAACCGGCACCTTTGACCATGGCTAATTAGTGTCGCCTTCCGGGTGCCGGTTGGGAAAACTGGCACCTAAGGGGTTTCCCAATCGGCATAATTTAGGATTTATGTAGTAGTGGCTTTGATGCGGGCATTGGAGGAGCTAGAATAATGATTTGTTGCATTTGTTAATTTGCTCGGAAAATTGGTTCTATACAAACCAAAAAGTTTATAACATTTTATATATGCTTAGCTTTATAACATTGGAACTTTCAGTACACTTCTATACCATCGATTTATAATTTTAGTTCTCAAACACACGGAACTTCAGCAAGAAACCTTGATCAGGATGCTATTAATTAGATCTGAAGAGGAGATTGAAATTTGTTAGCTTCCCTCCTTTGGGAGCGTTGTTTTAGAATCACGGTCTCATAGGCTCTCTCACATGCTCTGCCTGGTCAATATAATAGATCTACGTACTCTATCTATTTCATATTATAAGTCAATCGACCTTTTTGTCTAGTCAAACTTCTTTAAGTTTAACCAAATTTATAGCAAAATATAATAGTATTTTTAACAAAAAAGACATGTTATCAAAATATACTCAATATTAGATTTAATAAAACTAATTTGATATTTTATATGTTGCTAATTTTTTCTATAAATTTGGTCAAACCTAACAAAGTTAACTAGGAAAAAAGCCAAACGACTTATAATATAAAACGGAGGAAGTACGTATAAACGAGCCAGAATTGGTAGAATGTGTTGGACGATATGTGATATATGTGTTGATCCTTGAGGATGAATATCTCTACAAAGCAAATAACTTGAAGGACACATACTCCTAGATACAAAGAAATGGAAATTACAAGTACTAATGTAGTTATTTTGTTTATTTTAGGTTGTTAATAATCAAATCGGCTGCACCGACTTTAGGATCCAGTGCTTCAACGTATACGGTGTTTGCTTATCTATAATAAGATTGATGATGTTGGCCAATATTTGTTCATTTGATTTTGCACGTGCTGAAGTTGATCGGCTTTTGGCGCGCTCATCGGCTCATATCTCTTGTGCATTTCAAGATGTGTAGTCCTGCTGTGACAGATCTTATGTTTCTGTTTCTTGTAACAATATGATAAAAAATATAATGTATGACAAATATATTCTAGACTTATCTCTACAATTAAAACAGGAGCACCTTACCAAAGAGAACTACTATAGGACGGAGCTTATGCCAGCATCAGTGAAAGGACTCGATACCAGATTGGTACTAGGTTTAATACCGATCGGTAACAGACTTGGTACCATCCTATAGAACACAAGCTTGATACCCACCCTATAGGACAGGAGGACGGGATCCCGCCCTAATCTCTCCAAACAGTACTCGATGTTGGACCAGTACTAGATTTGATATCGGTCGGTATCAGACCTAGTACCCCTGATATCCATCGCTACCAGGGCGATATGTGCGGGCATCAATCCTGATACCTAGCTACTAGCTTGGTACCTATATGGTATCAATCAGGCCTAGTACATGCAGATCCACAAAAGAAAAAAGAGGGGTTGTTGTGGAAGGGGATGGAGAAGGGTTTTGCAACGACGGAGGGTTAACCGTTGAGCCATGACTAGACTGTAGAGGGGCCTGGTGGTAAATGGCTTGGCCCATGTCACATAGTGCCTATATGCCAATCTCGCTCAATGGAATAGGGGGATGTTAGACACGATGGCTTTGCTTTGACAACGTCGTCATACGATGAAGACAAGTGGCTGACATAGCTGGTGCTGGGTACAAAGATGAGCCGTGAATTTCGTTTGGGTTTCCAATTCTTAAATGTGGAGCGGCCAATGTGATAGGGGTGAAAACCATACAGAAATTTCAGACCAATGTCGTTTCCGCAAGCTATTATAATAATAATATCTTTACCGATGGTTACTGTTTCAGAAATTTAGTTTTTCTAATTTCTGTAAGTTTCACGTTGAAGTTGACACTAAAATAAAAAAAGTAATATCATTTCTGACTGTTTTCACCCCCTAGTGCCAGACGATCCTTCAATACTTGGGTGTCCTACAGTGGATGGTAGTGCAATTTGTTGAACCATACTTAGGGTATGTTCGTAAGTTTGGGGTTGGGAACCCATCTCCCTGTATGGAAAACGGAGCAATACATTAGCGTGTGATTAATTAAGTATTAGCTATTTTTTTAAAAAATGAATTAATTTAATTTTTTAAGTAACTTTCATATATAAACTTTTTGTAAAAAAAACACACCATTTAGTAGTTTGAAAAGCGTGCGCGCGGAAAACGAGGGAAGGGTGTTCGGAACTGATATGTCCAAGCCCCGAGTATTTCTAGTTGGTACAATGCATGTTACTGTGCAGGAAGAAATAACAGAAAACGGAGGGAGTATTGATCTGGAGACCATGAAGAGCAATGTATCAAAGCAAGGTTTCATGTCAGCATAAAGCAGGTGTATATTTAATTATCTTGATTAGCAAAGGTAATTAGCAATGGTGCCGGAATATTTAATATATATTCCTGGACGTGTGTTCTTTGACTAGTTTGGGTTAGCAACTTATTAGTTTTATTTTTTTCTTTGGTATTTTGGATCTGGACCAGTATGTCGCCGAGTCTGGTTTAGAGAAGGGCCCATTATGTTTACTATGCCTGCGTGAATATAAATAGGCCGTTGGCCATGTAAGTAGAAGATTAGGTTTTGTTTTTGTTTCGTCGAGATATATTTGTTCTCTTGGAAATAGCTTATGGCGCTCCCATCTGCTATGTACTGAAGAATCGCTGCCACCGGCTGATGTTTGGAGAGTGACGTGATCAGGAGATCCATCTCCTGGGGACGTGATCTGGATTTCATCTAGGAGTCCACTTACTCTGATCGTCTCTCAGGTACACGGTACACGGGTGGAGTACTACTGTCCAGGGTTTGGTTTTTGCTACTGTAAGCCAAGACCAGTCCTTTTTATATTTTGCTATTATTAAGCTGGATTAATTTGGTCGCTCTGCTTGATTTGCTATCGTGTGCATTAAATTTGCTGTTGTCTAGGAAAATTCAGAATTTTAATTATTTGATTATTATTGGTACCGTGAAAGAGAGGGATAAATTAGGGCATTCGCCGCCGGGTGCTCATCAGGAACCCATAACACCGAACACACCCTTACGCAACATACTACCTCCTTTTCAAAACATATGACGTCTTTAATTTTTGGTACAACGTTTGACAATTCATCTTATTAAAAACTTTAGTATAGATATATAAAAGTATAAGTTAAGATTATATTTTAATTAATGATAAAACAAGCCACACAACAAAATAAATTATATTAATACAAATTTTTTTAACAAAATAAACGGTCAAACGTTATGAAAAAATAAACAGTATCATACATTTTGAAATGGAGGGAGTATTAAATTTTTACACTCACTTCACGCAAAAGTTCAAATTCGGGATCATTAGCCAACGGGTTCTTAACCTTACAAAGTAGTGCTCAACAACCTAGCTAGCCGATGTGAGACTAAACTCTTACAGCATCTCCAAATTAGACTCTCCAAATACTTATATAGCCAACTTTTCAACTGATTTGGATAGTCAAACTAGGTGTTCACTCCAACAGTCTCTAACAAAGGGACCCACATGTCAGCCTTCGTTGCCTTCTTCCTCCTCTTTATCTTGTACTGCATCGGCCCATCAATCCATAATTCCATCCTTGAGTATGCGTGCACGAGGCGGGAGGCGACGGCGGCGGCAGATCCCCGCGCGCGTGAGGTGACGGTGATCACCTCAATCAGTCACCGGAAGAGAGTGTGGGAGGGGAGAGAAAGAGGAGGGAGAAAGCATCTCATGTGGGGCCCACAATTGGCAAGCCAATTTGGACGGGCCAAATTTGGCCATTGAGCGAGCCAGTTTGGCTAGCCAGATGGTTTGGCCATCCGTTTAGCAAGACTGTTAGAGCTCGTTTTTAGTCTATAGTTGCCAGTTTTTAACTTGAAGAGTGGGAGGACCACTCTGTTTAAGGAGATGCACTGGTTGCTGCCTCTTGCACCGCTTATGCTCGCTATTTGCTGCCCTGCTAGCTACTGCATGCTGCTTGCTTCTCGTTGCTTTGGTCAAATCCCATGGGCTGCCGCTGCATGCACTGCTAGCTAGGGCCAGTGTGCCACTGCCACTGCCGCAAGCAAATGCATGGGCCAAGGCCCAAAACCAACCAGCAACCACTGCC